AGCAAGCAGAGACGTGGGGAAATGGTTGATATGCTGGAAGGGGATGGTGCGTAATCAGCGCGTCGCAAGGGATGATGCGAGGGGCTCAAGACACGGCGGAGGATGGCAAAGAGGCATTTGACAGAGTTTGGGAGAAGCTGCGGATTGAATTGAAGGCGGAGAAGATCACGGAGAGGTAGTGTCTGTCAGCCAGTGGTGCTGTAACAAGGAAGGCCCGGGAAAACTGTCAACTTTAACATGGCGTGTCGGACGTGATGTAGTCACAAAGGTTCGGATGGTGTTGGGGACGCCACAGCCAATGTTATGTAATCTACGGCCCCACTTCCCAAATCGATACGGGGAAGGGCTGTGACTAAGCCCCAACAGGCAGTTCGATCGACTAACGGCCTGACAGCTCTCCGCTTTTCGATACACGAGTGTACATGCGAATTACAGAGAGCAGAGGCGGGAGGTACGTGTACGCGCGTCAACTGGCTGGAAAAGAGCAAATAGACTTTGTGAGTGCATGCAGATTGGAAAGGTGCTCGGTGAGCCGCTCATGAAAGTTTTCCTGACAATGAGTGATTGTGCTTGGGTTCGGTATGTGGTGGGAAAGGGACTTTGATTGGACTAAGCCCATTCGAGGTTGACAGCCTACTACTATCTACAGGCTACAGTATGCGGTACAGCAGTATGGTCATCATTACCCCAGACATGCGTGCATCGCCACTCCTCCACCACGCCTTATTTGGATTATCACAACATAAAAACCCAGGTTATCGGAACCAAAGAGCGAATGTTTAAGAACTATATGTCATTGGCGATGATGCGAGGGGTATCTGACCTGTAACCTGTTCTGGCAGCCGTCTGACACAAGTGCTCCCCGCTTTGCATCTAGTGAATCTGAGATTTAGATCTAGATAAGATTTATTATTACTGTACTTGACCGACGACGAGAATTGGTCGAGATTTTGGTGCGCGCCAATCAGAAGCTGAGCGCATCTCAAATCTGATGATGTGGAGGTCGACTAAAATCGGGAGTTATCAGATTCAGCCCTATGACACCATGATCCAGCCCACTGTACAGAGCAGGTACATGAACCATACCAATCAATGAAGTGGATGAGATCTGATCGTGCTCGGATCCCGGTTGGGGTTCTTGGCCCGCCGGCCCTGACTTGGTCGACCACCTTTGCTCCATCTCGTTTCTCGAAACATGGTGATCGTCCGAGCTTCGGTGATGGCCCGTCTCGGGGACATGGAGCAAGAAAAAACACTACTTGGACTCGGTGCCTACCCAATTGAACTTTCCAAGACGGGCCATATTAGAAGTCGCTCCTTCCTCTGATATGATTACCGCCAACAGCCGTTTCAAAACGTTACCTAGGCACCACTGTCTGAAGTCATTTATCTTGGCGATTTGTCCATTCTCTTTTCCCGCAAGCTTGCTCGACAACCCCACAACAATTTGGAGCCGAGTCAGACTACCAGCCGATCTATCCGCGGCTCTGTCACCACCTGACACCTTGCGAAGAGAAACAAGAGAATGAGGTTTTTAAGTGCATCACCCACCCAGGCGATCTATCAGCGACCTGTGACCCTGCCCACTTCTTAGCACATGACGATAATGATTGTTGGCTAGGTTAGTATTATTGGTTTACGATCGTCCTGGACATTGTTCTCGAAGACATGCTGCCGGTGCCAATTGGCGACCACGAACGACGCCGATAACCCCAAGCGTCTTCGTCGTCATCGCAGATGGATATCCGCGGTGGAGAGGAGCAAATCTAGCTTCATCTGCCACAACTGCAAATAATGTGCTCGACTCTACCCGTCTACCGGCAATCAGGGGAGGATGTTTCGACAAGCTACGGCACACGATCACGCCAATTAGCCGACCAATAAGCCCCCCAACTGTGCCACAACCACAACGGTAGAAGGTGAGCAGGGCTGTAAATGCGTCGTGCCTTCCTTGGTCAGCCTACGCACGCACAATTCATATTATTAAGCTGACACTGTGCCTCTAATTATCATTGCCCACGCATGAATTATGAGTCTGCCTAGCCGACCGTAAACTCTGGCGTCCGGTGACACATGCAAACCCAACCCGAGTGCATCAGTTAAGCCAAGTTGACCACTCTGTGTCGAGTCTCATCCAATAAACCTGCATAATCAGCAGAATCTTCTTCACCAGTCCGCGTGATAGACCGAAGCTGCTCCCTCCTGTCAAATATCGGAAGGGCTTGTCGGCATATCGCGGCAGCATTGTCACCGGTTTCTCGTCAGGCAATCGTTTGAGAATGGCAGGCCCATACCCTGGGAGACTCTGCATGCCTAGATCCTGCACCGCCCTCTACGAATATTCTTACGATGGAGCAGCCTTCGTCGGTAGTTTTCGTTCGCCTCTCTTGTGCTACTGACATGACAAGGAGCACCCAGCCAAGTATATAATATTATCACGGTGAGGGCGAATACCGCGTGGGCATCCTTCCTCATCATCAACATTATCGTGAAGCGCAGCACCTAAACTTATTCTTCAAACTAATAGTAATATCTTTGTAGTACAGATATTTGTTTGCGGGTACCTTTAACATGAGCAAAGCCGACAGAGAAATTAGGTACCTTGGATCGATGTTCTAATTGGTGCATTAACCCAGTTGTTGATCTGCAGTTGGTATCAGGCTCCAAGGGATAAAAAGTATATTTTTATCCCCCTCCTTCTTTAGAAGAAACAAAGGATGGCATCTCTCCTTCAATCATCGCCTGAGCCTTCTCCACCTTTGGTCCTCCGGCCCTCATCGTGGTTATTTGCCCCTGGCTACTACTCACTCAAAGCAGAAACCCCGAAGACATGTTTCGACAGTCCCCGACGTTGCCTTCGCTTGAAAGCAACGTCCAATACTTCATATCACAGGAAGTCAGCATACTCGCAGCGCCCTCGACTCTTGCCTTCAGCCCAGGATGCTATCTAGAGACTGAACGCAAGGACGTCTTTTCTTCCGGCGATACCCTGTGGCGGGACCTCCTCAACAGCCCGAAGGGCGTTCCTCGCATGCTCGGGTTCTGCAAACGCCCCTTTCACGACGGTGACAATGCAGCAGCAGCAGCCCAGGAGCTCCCCCATCTCCCATTTATTACGTCGTTCCATCACTCTCGTTCTCGAAACCGGCGTGGGTGTACGCGGATTCAACGGCTCCCTGCACGGCGGTATCATGTGCGCCATCATGGACGAGGCAATGGGCAGCCTCATCTTCCAGAACTATCTCCTCAATCGGGAGGCCAAGGCCAACGGCCTCATCCCCGCCGACTCCCAAGACTTCGGGCTGGCGGCCACGTCGCACATGAACGTCAAGTATCGCAGGATGGTACCTACCCCGAGCATCATCTTTGCCACCGCTTCTCTGGAGAGGCTGGAGGGGAGGAAGATGCACATGCGTGTCGTCATCACGGACCGGGAGGAAAGCAAAGAGTACGCGAGTTGCGATGGAGCGTTTACAACCTTCTCCAACAAGTCGAAGATGTGAAATTCCGTGTCGGTGGATAGCTAGCCACTTACTCCTCAAGGAACATGCGCTTTGCTCATGTCGCTTATCTTTTCCCATTTTTCGGATGAAACTTTTAAAATCTGTTTCTTCGTTTTATGTGATGGACTATACTATACATACCAGTACGGGCTTCGGGTCCTCGTGTAGAGAGATGCAGCCATTGTCAAAAGCTGAGGCAACTTCCGTTTTCCACACGAGAACTCGCTCGTCGTACCTCGACTGCAGCCTGCAGGGTATCCGTTACAGTTTAAATTGCCGGCTGTCTGTATCTGTAGCATATGACCTGTTCTTCGAAGTTTTCGGTCTTCCATCGCGTGTTGCATGTTCTTTCCCAGGAGCTAGGTTAGGGGTACCAAGACGGCATATTGTGGGATAGGCAATTGGCTGCGGCACACATTTAACTTAAGAGTCTTAGTGCAATGTCAGGTGTGTCAGTACTAGAGGAAGAACCACAATTTGAAGACCACTCCGTAACATTCCTATGAATTGAACTTTTCAAACTCGGTTCGTACGTTAAGTACGTATCCCATGCACCTGCTTCATCTCGATCGATAGACACGGACTACCCGGCTAAAGCGGGATAGCAACTTCAATCACTCATGTCATCATCTCATTCCCAAGACAAAAGGTTTGCAAAAGATATCGGTAATGGCGCCAGTTTAAGTTTAGATCTCAGCTCGAGGGAGGCGAGGCCGAGAGAGCGATTCGTGAGCCACACACACTTGAACAAGGCTACGTACGACCAGGCTAGAGTATGATTGCTTCCATGGAACCACGGAGTCGTGTGGGCAGAGAAGGACCAAGACCCCATGAATGTCGGGTTCCCTCGCTAGGTACCGGGCATAACTTTTCTCGACCCTTCAAAAATAATTGTATAATATACCAGAGAAGGATCGTAAGGAGGCAGCGGCTATCTTATAACGAACGAGAGTATACTTACCTACTTAACTGTGTTGTCTAATCCAACCGACTTTTCTTTCTCTTCACCTCTACACATCACAACATAACAACACTAAAATTCAGACTTTTTGCTCCTCAACTACAACTTTCCAAGTAAACCACAAGCATCGCCCTCTGATCTATCTATCAATCCACTTCATCTTCAGAAGTCTCTCATTACCTAATCCGCACCCACACTTGGTGAAATCAATTACATACAATAACACAATCCACTGACCTATCCGACACCAGAACCTACTTTTCCCTGGAAAACAAGGGCGTGCAACACACATAACAAACATGTATGAAAGAAAATTACTAACCTAGGTAAAGATGGAGAAGTTATGTAGAACTTTTACACATCTAAGGTTAGTCTACTGCCCTCCAACACTCTCTCCACCCATCTTCCTTCCTCCGGCCTTTCCTGCTACACACATAATAGACAGACACACACATCACCAGCCCATAAAACAAAACCAAGTCTATATATGCCTGCTTACCTCCCAAACAACCAACTCATCCAACAAACCAAAAAAACTCCTGATAGCTCAGTTGGTAGAGCGATGGACTGTAATAGAAATTTCAATTCCTGTTTTCAACACACGTTGGAGATCCACAGGTCGCGTGTTCGACTCACGCTCGGGAGAACATAATAAGAACATCTTGGTTTAGACTACCTCTTCGCCAACAATATTTTTGCGTCTGTGGTGTGTGTATCACCCTATCCAATTGGACGGGACTTTGTTGTAGCTTAAGAGACGGCGCCGGTGTTGTTACCTGACTCTAGTCTAGGTCAGACTAGACTATTCTATTAGTCCAGATATGCTTTAGAACAGGACTAGTCTACTTTAGTAGTTAACAATTAGATGGATACTGTGTAGATAGTAAAGGGGGTCTGTCGACTTATACTTATTATGTAATCCGGTCCATCTTCCCCTTCCTTATATAAACACAAGATCCTTTTTCTTCTTCTTTTCCGTCTTCTAGTCTAGTTACAAGGAAACAAAAACACCATCATGAGGATAAGTGAGTATAATAAAGGATACGCTCTCTCTAGCCTCTAATATATAAATACACACATCAGGAAAAACAGACGTACAAGGCCAAAATTCAGAGACCAAACCAAATGTAATAAGCTTGATAAAAGGAAGTCAAGTCCAAAACTTTTGGTAAAGGCCCCTCTCAGCAAGGGGTTTTGTTTTGTCCCTGCTGCCTAACCTCCTTGTCTTTCTTTCATTCACTTCATTATATAAAAGTCCTCAACCCTTACTTCAAACCCGGATACCTGGTAGTCTAGCTGCTTACAAACCGAAGCATACCGAGGCTCAGACTTATTACAAACTTCCCGACACGTAGCAAGCACACTTAAGTAGGCACCACAAGGGATCAAAAAGTCCAATGTATCCGATGAGCAGAGAATACCATTTCTTTCTTTTTCATCGCTACCTGCCTCCCCCCCAGGAAACAAGCAGATTCCGTTCTTATCATTGATACATGCAAATACACCGAACCATGCAAAATGCAAATAACAGCCAGCCAGCCTCCCACGTCTCTCATGTCATCATGTGCTGTAGACAAGAGGAAACAAAAACCGCCAGGCAAACAGAGCGCGAAAACACCTATTTATCCGCAAAGAAGGAATAAAAGCAAGCTTCGATACTCTAGGCAACCTGCACAGTGTGCAAACTACCGACCATACCAAGGCATAAAATACCTATGCCGTCTCTCTTTTCCCCCATTTCATCCCCGAACACCGTTCTAGACCGCTCTAGTCTTTCCTCCCCCCCTTTCCCTTGAAGGGTTCATTTACGGAAATTGGGTATCGTGGGAAATTTTTCGAATCGGCTCACCGGCGCAAGCTGTTGGGTATATGCCGTATCTGCTTTGGACCATGTCCAAACCACATAATGTCAAAAAGCCCTGTCCCTTTGTCGAATGTAACATGCAATGCAATCATGCTGAAAAGGAGATGCTAAACCATGCCGTCTAACGCCAAACGCTATGCCCAGACTACTACTAATAAAACACAACCTCGAGGATATAAACAACGGGGAAGAACGGGGTCCGTGGTCTGAAGATGATCACCAGACAGCGGAGACGCATCTGGACACAAGTTACAAGCCAACTTAGACCAATGCGCCGCCGCTGTGAATCGCTTGGGTGCTTGGCATGCGCGATGAAGTGGAATTGGGACGGATCGGAGAGGTAGGATCCAGATCGGCTGCTAGGAAAACAGGCTGAGAAGAGCCCCAGTGCTCTTCATTCAGTGCGGCCAGGTAGCCGCTGCCAACTGTATCCCGCAAGACCTCGATCTTCTTACGATATATCTCTCCACCAGCATTCCAGTCCTGCAGGTCTTCCCAGACCTGCCGAGGCTCCTGCGCGGTAGCTGATGGTGGCGGTACAGACTTCAACAATGGACTAGTGTTGGTGCGCGGCATTTCGGGTGGGCTGAGTGTTGTGGACGGGGTCAGATCGCCGAGGACTTTGGTAAGCACCGCTGGCCTCTCGGGGTGTTGAGAGATGCGGTAGTTCTCTACAGGGTCGAGAGAGGGGATATCGCCAGCATTGGCATCGATACCCTCCTTCTCGGGCGGCTCAGCCGAGCTGATATTCGAGCTGATAATAGTGCGATCATTTGTGGCTAGATCCACGATGCGTCGCTTTGGCGTACGCCGCTTTCGAGTCGACGATGTGTGAATCTCGCTTGTCACCTCCTTTGGTGTTGGTCGAGCTGGCCGGTCCTTGCGCAGCACAGCGGGCTGTCTCGCGCTGTCCTGAATGATGGCGGGCTTACTGATGTCGACCACCGGTAACTCTGGTACGGCGGGCTTCACGACAGGGACCGCAGCGGGAATGGCCACCCGTTCCACCAGATATCTCTTTTCCGCGCTGCTCGGTCCTGAGGCGTCTATAACGATGTCCTCCGTGAACCCAGGTGTCTGACGGAATAGATTGAAAATGGTAATCCGGTAGTCCCGATGGGTCCTTGTAAAGGGGTTCCCCTCAACCCATATCTCCCGAATGTCCGGTATGCCGGTTAGTCGAGCCAGCTCCATAGGGTCCGTCAGGCGGTTTTCTCGAAGATCGAGCCGCTCGAGGGGATAGAGCTTCTCGATCCCGGCGATGGAAGAAAGCCGGTTCGCGCGTAGATTGAGAGCGCTTATCGCCGGTAGGGGGTTCCTGAGAAGAGAGTGCAGAGAGTCGATCATGCAATGGGATAGGTTCAAGGCCCGAAGTGCTGTCAGTGTCGCCAAGCTATCGGGTACCTGAGCGAACAGATTGGCGGAGAGGTCCAGCGAGTTGAGGGTATTGGCTAGAGGTGCGAGACTCGCAGCTGGCACCACAGTCAGCGAGTTGTCTGCCAAGCTGAGATGCTTCAGAAACCGCCACTTCGTCGAAGGCAGAACGCCCAGGACAAGCAAGTTGGAAGCACTATTTCGCGGATTATGCCACGAGTCCGACATACTCGAATGCGAACTACCGGATCCCGATCGCTTCACCTTGTGTCCCGCCCTTGTGTTGGTAGAGTGGTGACGCGAGCTTGCTGGGCGCCTGGGCGAGTGACTCCTCGGCCGTCCCGAGGGACGAGGAGATCCGGGTTCCTCAAATTCAACTCTGGGAACAGACTGTCGTCGACTACCGTGAGGTGACAGGCTCTCAGCCGAATCGTTACCCACTGAGCCAATGTTTAGGTCGGCGATAGTGTTTCTTCGTTCCGGGGTTGCGGATGCTAGGCTGGGCCTATTCAAATCCGCAGTCGGGCTTCGCTTCGGGCTAGATGCGTGGGCGTAGGCACCGGTCGGTGTGGTCTGGGCCTTCGCCGATCGGCGGCGTCGCTTGTCCATATCGTCTAGGACGATGTCGATCAGGATGTCGGCAGGGTCCTCGATACCCGCATTCTTAAGGGTCAACGAGCGGACTTGCTCGGCCAAGCGATCCCACCCAAAGAACTGTCGGAAATCGATACCGCTGATCTCAAGAGCTTGAAGGTTCTTGAAGACGTAGAGGGGAACAGCCGAGTCGAAAGGAAACTCCTCGTATCCGCGGATCAGCTTTGCACGCCAGTCGGGAGCCAAGCGCAAGCACGGTATCTTTGTGAAGGCAGAGTATAGATATTTTAGATCGGCCTGAAGGGCAGCCTTTTGCTTTTCGTTGCGAGCGGCAGATATACTCGACCCAAGCCCAAAACTATTCCATAGCGCAGACATTCCCGACATGACGCTCCGTATGCTCGAAACCGATCTTATCGAAACCGCATCAGATCCCCGACTCTTAGTGCGCTGAGATGGACTGAGGAACGAGACATAATTGGCGGAAATGGTGCTATCGTGCAGATTTTCTAGCCGAACCTTCATCGGCCCCACGTTGATGCCGAGGTCTTCGAACCGAGACAGCAGGTAGAACAGATGGTGAGGTGTAAGCGCAAGTTTGGTTGACTTGGAACTGTGAGAGGCAAAGGTGAGCGACCCAAGAGACAGGGCATTGGCTAAAGCGCTCGAGCTCGAGGCTGAGGTGGAAGGGCGTTCGGGCAGGGGCACAGAGGCTGTGGACTGGGACGTTGCTATGGTGGAAACGCTCTGGCTCGGGCCATGTCTGGGCTGTCTCCGCATCTGCAGGGCATTCGCCAGCGCCTTCTCGTGCGTGCGCACGAAGTTGGCCAGTTGCTGCCTGGGATTAGCCCTCCTGACCTCCCAAAGAGTCCGCATTCGACCCATACCTTGACAAATATCTCCCCGTCTTCGGAATCCATCTTGTCAGTGTATATACATGGGCCTATGCGATCCGGATATACTGTAGAGGAGTTTGACGGGGGATGGATGAACTCGTCTCCGGAGAGGCTTCGAGGGATATATAATTCGACGACCCTATACAAGCACTCCTCCCTCGGACGATCGACTCATCGACCACGGATTGGAAACACTACTGAAGATAAGCTAGTCAGCGTCGATACTCCAGAGTCAGTGGTGCGCTATGACAACGTGATGGGTGCCTCCATACTCGTCTACCCCAGACGATCGCGGGGACTGCAAAGGCCTCCGGGAGATAGTATGTAGCTTGAAACAAGCCAGTCCAGAACCCGTGGTGCCCATGACTCGTCCGAAACAAAGACCATCGAGTTACATATATCCAACTTCGAGGCGGCGGTTCCAAAAGGACGGTGAGTCGTGGTAAGGTACACGACCTGCCATGACTGCACACGGCCTGGTCACACAGTTGCAGTCACGTATACATGGTTGAGCAGAACAAATGATGTATATAATGTGTGTGTAAGGCAACAGGCGGTTGTTGGACACATATACACTTCACGACTTCGAGTAGACAACACCACAGGGACACAACACGGGCGACAACAGGCTGGTCGAGACTCGGGGAAATGGGGGGAATGCAAAGCAAGCAAGGCGCTCCAGAGGCGGACAGAGCATGGCAAGGCCGAGGGGGTCGAGAAGCAAGGTCGCGTTGTGAGAAACATACCTCTGCTGAATGCGGGTTTCGCTGGATTTTCTTCCCCTCTGGACATCAACCGGGCAAGGGCTCTGGAGACGGACCACAAAGAGGAGGGAGCCTGTGCTCTCGGGAGCAGCGACGGCGTGGAAAGAAAGGAGAAACAGCGGAAGGGGGCGAAGGCGAGGCGGTCCCGAACCTC